CATGTAAATGATTAAAAAGGTATTTTTTTAAAAAAAAAACTAACACACACTTTTAACAGATAACTAATTTAATTAATTTTTTAATTTAGTTTTTTGAAAATTATTTTTTTAGTTTTTATATTTAGAATGGGAAGGGAGTATATCATCCAATTAAATTACTCCTTCCTTGCAGTCCCTTTTATAAAATGTAGATTTTTGAATTGGTCATGAAATTTAATTTTGAATTATCTAAACATTAAATATATTTTATCAATTTTACTCTTATTTAATTTCTTTTTTTGCATTTATTAATTCTGTTTCATCTTTTTTTCACTATTTTTCTCTCACTCTCTTTTACTTATCCTTCTTATAAATAAGGACACATTTACAAAAAAAATAGATAGATTCATTTTACATAATTATTATTTTTACTTAATGTTAATAGATTTTTACTTAAGGAACGGAGGAGTATCATCTAACATATTTTTTAAATAATATAATTCAAGTAAAAGAATCTCATAAAAAGAACTGAGTACGGTAAACAAGCATGTAACAAATGTTCCATTTCCCAGAAGGCCATAGCAAAAGGCAACTTGTTCTAATGTTATCTTTTAGGACATCGAACCAGTTGGAAAACGAAGAATAATTCTGAAAGTTAAGTCATAAACCTTCTAAAGTTGGCTGCATGATCTACCAATACCAAATCATCCATTTTTGCAATTACTCTGAAATTATCTTGTGCAATTTAACTTTTTAAACAAAATAAGCTACTAGCTACCTCACGTCCTTAATATAAGAGTTAGTTGTAAATTTAATTTGATTTTAAATATAAGATATCAATCCACTTTATCTCCTATATTTATCCTTTTGAGTTAAAGAACATAGTTGCCCCAGAAATTTTTACTCAAGAGCATTGGATATCCAAAAAAAATTTTGGGAGCAAATTGTCCTAAAAGTTTAAAATCGTAGTAATATTGCCTACTATTATCAAAAAAGACTAATATAGACTATTAAAATAGTAACGTTGACCATTAGCATCTTTAGCAAATTTTTAGAGTAAATTTGCTCCCAAAAAAACTTTCGGATATCCAACCCTCCTTAATTAAAACTTTCGAGACAAATTTGCTCATTAACCCTATGTATTTTGCCATCAAGTAATTCTTATAATAATTGTACATGTTAAAAGGTTTTCATTAAAGATAGTTTCAATGCATATGATTAGTAAGTATATATTTTGAAAGACAACGCCTACTTATTACAAATAATTAACTTGATTATTGTAAAGTAATTTATATGACTCTTATATTAAGGATTGAAGTTATTATTTAGTAAAACTTGCACTAACTTTTAGAAAAGGATAATTTTACTTGTCATTTTCAATGATTCAATTGTACTAATTTGAGTTCTTATTGATATTGGAATATGATTAAATATTTTTTCACTTGTATTTAAACAAAACTTTATTGTCTATTGAACATATATATATAATTATTTAATTAATTATATATTACTATACCTATTGATTAATAGAGACCCACATCTAATAAATTATTAAATGGTTAAGGTGCAAATTTATCCTGAAAGTTTTCATTTACGAGCATTGGGCACACCTGAAAGTTTTTTTGGGGTGTAAATTTGACCTGAAAATTTAAAATCATAGCAATATTACCTTTTATTATTAAAAAATTAATGTTGTCCATTAAAATAGTAATGTTAACCGCTAACTTTTTTATTGATAGGGCAATATTGCAACAATTTTGTACTTCTAGGAAAATTTTGAGTGCCCAATGCTTCTAAATAAAAACTTTCAAAACAAATTTCACTACAAAAAAATAGTGTTTTGCAGTGGTTATTTTTTGACGGTTCCAAATAACCGCTACCAAATTATACATTTGTAGTGATTGTGTGAAAACCACTACTAATATGCAATGGTCTAATAGCAAAGACAACATTAGTAACGGATTTTTGTGCATTAGCAGCAGTTTTTTGAAAACTGCAACAAAATTATGGCCCCCAAGGATCGCACCATGTGACAAGAACAGTTGTAGTGAAATTTTGTAGCAGTTCAAGAGGGAAAAAAAAACGCTACTAAAAAACAGATGATGCACATTTCCAACAATTCTAAGTAAACCATTGCAAATTTCAAAAACATTTGTAGCAGTTTTGCCAGAAAAGCTGCAAATGTTATGCATTTGTAGCAATTTTCTTAGAACTATCGCAAATTTTAAAAAGGTTTGCAGCGAATTTGTTAGAACCACTGCAAATGTAATGCATTTTGTAGTGGTTTTCTTAAAACCATTACAAATGAAAAAAAGCAATTACAGCAGTTTTGCTAAGAACCACTGTAAATGTTCCTATTTGTAACAGTTTTAAAAAGCTGCTGCAAATGTAATGCTAAGTTAATCAAAATATTTTTCAATAAAATATTATATTTGCAGTAGTTTTGCCAAAAACCACTACAAATACAAATATTTTGTAGCGGTTTTATAAAAAAAATTGCTGCAAATGTTTTTTGTAATGGTTTTTTGAACCGTTATCCAAACCGCTGTTAATGTCACGTACTTATTATAAATACTCCCTCCCTTACTTTCTATTTGTTCTTTCCCTTTCTTATTCTTCTTTCCCATCTTTCCTCTCCTCATTACTCCCTCTGTTTTGCTCCTTTGGTTTATTAAAGGTAAAAAAAATTATTATTTAATTTTATTTCTTGATACTTATATATTCTTTTTTTTTTTTATCTCTCTTGTGGATTCTTACCACAAGACAAATATTCATTCTTCTATCTTTTGGAAATTTATTACTCAATTATAGATATATATTTAAAAATTATTTCTCACATATTTAAATATTTTTAATGAAAAAGATATTTAAATAAATAAATGAGAATATAAAATTACATATATAAGTAACAAAATAGATAAATAACAAATAATAATTTGACAATTATTTTGGATAACTACTTTAGCTGCCATGCATTAATTTGCAGAGTGGGTATATTCATATTTCCTCTTGTACAAAAGTTAACAAAGAAGTTTGTTTTAGTGGCAGATATAAGAAATCAATTTATTTTATTATTCAATTTTATAATTATTTGCAAATTTTTTCTTATTAATTGGACAAAATAAAGAATTTTTTTTATCAAGAGAGTAGTTTTCAAAGTAAATAAATATGATGGGTACTTAAAAAACAATGCTCAATTTTTATGAGTAATTAACTTATTATAATTTTTAAATTTATAAATTAGTTATTTAGCTTTTATATTTAGGTGTCTGCTATGATGTGTTATATTATGTATAAATATTATGTGTAGAAGTAATTAAGATTTTGACAAGTTTACAGGACAATACATAATACATTAGGAGTATTTGATTTGTCATTTGATTACAGATAAACACATACATACAAACAATTTAAATTACTCTATTAAAAAAATAGGATAAGTTCATATCATTTGTAGTTTTACGTTTCCTTTTCTTTTCTTTTCTTTTTTCCTTTGTCTCTGTTTTTTCCCCCTTACGTTTAGCCTTCAGATTGATTCATATTTATCAATCGAAAATAAAAATTTTGTAGAAAATTCCTAAAGGATCACATCTGATATGAATGTATTACATGTTCTAGAATAAGAGGTTTTTCTCTCTTTGAAACGAGGACTTGAATAATATATAAAAGCAAAAAAACCGCAAGCAGATATATATACCAAACAGCCAATTCCTAGAGTTTTCAGAAAGAAAAATCTAATTTTAGTTAAACTATCCAGTTGGCATATTTGCATGCATGTAGCTGGCTATAGCTGCATCTTATTTTCAGAAACATTTTATAATATTATTTTATATGCTTCCACATTTTATATTATTTTATAAATAAATAAATAAATAATTAATTATTGTCAAATCAAAGAGGCAGACACCCACTTGGTTATCAAAATGAAGATTCCATAATTTCCAAAACCACGAAAAGGCCACTTGTCCTACTTTTAATGTTTTCCTCAGACATCAATATTGATTGTAGTGTAAAACGAAGAATAATATATATCTCTAAAAGTCATAACAAACCTTTTACGTTTCGCTTCCCGATTATTACATGTCAAATCAATATCATCCAAATTTTTTCTCAATTAAATCTTCTGTAAATTAATGTTTGTAAAGTGATCTCTCTGTGTTTTCATCAGTTAATGCTTCATTAACTTCGATTTCTTTGCCTTTCCATATTCCATAAAATATCATCAATTACAATTAACGAGTTCGTGGTTTATAGTAAATCTGGAGATCGCAATAGCAAAATATCAATAGAAGGGAAACAGAATTACAGAACAGTTAGTCTCAATCTTTGTTTATTTGACTTTTCTCTTTGATCTTTTATTCGTTAGTATTTCTTTCAGTTCTTAATATAAAAGTTACTTAATTAATTTTAGTATATTAAAAAAATTTAAATAAAGTATTCAATTCTAATAAATGTGACATGATTCCTCTAAAATATCTCTATGAAACATCAGATTTTATATATTAAATTAATAGGATTAATACAATCTTTGATTTCTTGAAATTGCATTCATTTTAGACAGAAAGAATCTTGAGGAACCAAAACTTATGATTTGAAATTTGAGGAATTAAAACAAAAATGAATGCAAACTTGATAGACAAAAAATTGCATGAACTCTTTAGATAAATTAGTTTGGAGAAATATGATGAATATGAAAGACAAAATTGATTAAAATATTATATTTATAATCAAATCTACCTCCCCAACTAGCTTCTTTAATTTGTTAGGGATCAGGGGGAGTATACAATTACATTTTCGTTAGTTTATGACAAGATTAATGCAAAAGCAAAATCAAAAATAACTTTTAGAAAATACAAAAAAGTCGCGCCGCCCTTAAAAGCGAATGTTTCAACCGTCTTCCCAAAATCCTCTATATAAGGAAGCAAGCAATGACACCAAAATTATCTTCCAAACATTCATCAAGCCACAGAATACAAAAAATTAAGAGAGAGACAGTTATATAGAGTTCTCCATTACGTCCCATGGCAACTTTTTTCAACTCAATCTTATTATTACCATCACTTCTTCTTTTAGTTGTTCCATTCTTGTTTTCCTCTTTGGCTTCTGCTTATTCTTTCAATGACATCAAATTATGGTGTAGCCAAACCCCTAATCCTCAACCATGTGAGCATTTCTTGAACCAAAACCCTACCCACCAACACAAACCCTTAAACAACAAAGATGATTTCTTCAAGCTTTCTCTACAGCTCGCTCGGGATCGAGCTCTCATCAGCCATCAAAGCGTGGTTTTGCTCGGCCCTAAGTGCCGGAACCAAATGGAAAAGCTTGCATGGGCCGATTGCCTTGAGTTGTATGATCATACCATTCTCAAACTCAACAAAACCCTAAACCGTAACCCTAGCTGCACCCAAAGTGATACGCAAACATGGCTCAGCTCAGCTCTCACAAATCTTGAGGCATGTAAATCTGGGTTTTATGAACTTGGGGTTCAAGACAATGTATTGCCTTTGATGGCCAATAATGTCTCCAACTTGCTAAGCAACACTTTGGCTTTAAACAAGATTCCATACGAAGAACCAAGTTATAAAGATGGGTTCCCAACATGGGTCAAGCCAGGTGACCGGAAGCTGTTGCAGAGTTCTTCTCCATCTTCTCATGCAAACATCGTGGTGGCTAAAGACGGCTCCGGCCACTTCACAACCGTTAGTGCTGCCATAAATGCTGCACCAAAGAGTAGCAGTGGGAGGTATGTTATATACGTGAAGGCAGGAATATACAACGAACAAGTTGAGATCAAACTAAACAATATCATGTTAGTGGGAGATGGTATTGGAAAGACTATAATCACAGGAAGCAAAAGTGTTGGAGGAGGCACTACTACCTTCCGTTCTGCGACTGTCGGTAAGACAATATAACCCCTCATTTGTTTAAGTTTTTCTTCACACAAAAATCACCTTTTTATTTTAAAAAAATCACCTTTCAGAAATTTTGCAATGTTTGTTTGACCTTTTTGAAATAATCAAAATTAGGAGAGAGGAAAAAAAGCTAGTTAGTTGCTGGTTAGTTTTGAAAGCCACTCAAAGCATCCATTTTTTCATATAACTATTTGATAGTGTTAAATTTAAGCAGTGTCGAGTCAAATTAAGAGTAGCTTTCTCAAAAGCGTTTTTAACATTTGCACAAACTCGACCTCAGAGTATCGTTTTAAAACAGTCATATGCAATAAATAAATTATAAAATATTTTTAATTAACAGAGATATATTGAGATATCATAAGACATAAATAACTAAATAAAAACTATCTTCTATGACGATAATAAAATGCAAAATAATTTTTTTACTTGTTATGAAATCTCTACACAATAAATCACTTTTCAAGAAATTTATAAACTTTTTGAAAACTCAAACAAAGGGGGACATAAAAGATGAACTTATGATATTGAGAACTAACAAAACTATATATGTGATTTTGAAATCTTACAGCTGTTGTTGGAGATGGCTTTATTGCTCAAGACATGACATTCAGAAACACTGCTGGAGCATCAAACCACCAAGCCGTAGCATTACGTTCAGGTTCAGACTTATCAGTATTTTACAGATGCAGCTTTGAAGGCTACCAAGACACATTGTATGTGTTCTCTGAGAGACAATTCTACAGAGAATGTGACATTTATGGCACTGTGGATTTCATCTTTGGAAACGGAGCCGTGGTTTTTCAAAACTGCAACATTTTTGCAAGAAACCCTCCAAACAAAATCAACACAATCACAGCTCAAGGCCGAACTGATCCGAACCAAAACACAGGAATTTCCATTCATAACTGTAAAGTTACGGCTGCTTCAGACTTAAAACCAGTTCAGAGCTCTGTGAGAACCTATCTTGGAAGGCCATGGCAACAATATTCTCGAACAGTTTTCATGAAGACTTTCTTGGACAGTTTGGTTGATCCTTCTGGTTGGCTGGAATGGAGTGGTAATTTTGGCTTAAGCACTTTGTACTATGGAGAGTACATGAACACTGGTTCAGGTTCATCCACTGCAAATCGTGTTAAGTGGGCTGGCTTTCATGTGATTTCTAGTGCCTCTGAAGCTTCAAAATTTACTGTGGCAAACTTCATTGGAGGAAGTTCATGGTTGCCAGCCACCAACGTTCCTTTCACTTCTAGCTTATAGATCATTATATATTGTCTTGTCTTGTGAGCTATATACGAATGATTGGTTTAAATATTCATTGAGTCGTTGTACCAAAATAAATTAATCCTGAAAAAGGGTTTAAGTTTAGCTGGTAACTAAATATATAACTGCTTTAGCTGTGTCTTATGTTTCTATTTTTTGTTGCCAATCTTTTTGTATCATATATAAATTGCTTCTAGTATAGTCCAAAAGCTTGTTGCTGATTTATATTATGAGTAAAATACATTGACTGCCATTTTGATTTATTTAAATTACAGAAACCTCCCATCTATTTTGAAAATACATATAGATCTCATTTGAAATTAAAATGTATGTTACACAAACTTTCCTTATATATTTGAAATTTCATTTCCATCTATCTAACTGTTAGGTGATTGTTAAATTTAACTTTCTGACTTTTATTTTGATCAAAATATTCCTCATTAACATCAACATTATTTAAACATTTATATATGTCAAAAAAATTATTTTTGATTTAAAAATAATTATAATACATATGTTTTCAAAATTCTTAATATGTTATAAAATTTATAAATTTTGATTATATTATAGAATTATATAATTTTAATTTGTCATGACATATTGAAACTCATTTATTTAGGTTTCTTTTAAATTGCTAGAAAATATTTTAAATGCATATTTGTTCATCATATAATATAAATTATGTGAGTTTGGGACATTAAATAAATCATTTAAATTTATAATTTAAAATTTTTAAACGAAAATTTTGTAGCAAACATTTATAACTAATTTGATCGATTATGTATTTATTTAAAGAATTAATCAAATCTCTATTCAATTTTTTTATGGTTATATTAACTAAATTACTTAATTTTCTGTCCTAGTATGATAAAAACATTAAAGAAATAACTATTTATAAAAATAAAAAATAAAATTAAGGTAAAAGAAAATTTCTTAAATTTTTAAAAATAATTTTAGCCAAAATTTAGGGATTTTGTATTATGAAGGGTAAAAAAAATTAAGGTAAAAGAAATTTTCTTAAATTTTTAAAAATAATTTTAGTCAAAATTTAGGGATTTAGTATTATGAAGGGTAAATAACTAAATAAAAAATAGTTCAACATAAATTTTAATTAAAAAAGCATCTTTTCAAAATATTCTTAACGGAATTAATGGTTTAAACTTACGAGTATAATTTTAAAATAGATGGAAAGTTTATGTAATTAAGACAAAATGTAACTACATATGTGTGTGTATCCTTGCCTTATCTTCTGGTACGTATGCAGTTGGTCTTGGAAAACAATAATTAGAAAAGTGAGATGAAAATCCTAGTATGAACCCAAGTTTTTATTTTATATATATATATATATATATATATATTCATTTTATCATTTCACATTGAGAGAATGCAAGAAATTCTCGTAAACATAATGTACGCATATACTTCTATAATAAGTATTGCAAATTTATCAACAAAAAAAAAAGTATTGCCAACATTTATTTAAAAAAAAAAGAAACGATAATAAAATTAATTACCCTTTTCCCGCTTCAGCAGTCACTTTGTGAGCCTTAACATCATCCATTAGTCCTTCTTGCTTTTTTGCATATATACTCGTAATTGAGTTTGGGCTATGCATATAAATAAACTTATAAATTTACTTAGAATGTCAATAACTTGAACAGATCTAAAGATGCCTACTATTTCCTAGCTAGCTAAAATAGTTTTAAAACACACCAGCTGATTAAGGGGTTTATTAGACATATTTTATTAACAATATATGATGCTTTCTGTCATCTTACCCTAACACAATTAGTCCCAAGTGATAATATTTTGTCAGCATTTTAAAATTTTAATGTTAGCACTTTTTGTTTTAATGAAATTAATGGTATATTATGATTAAAAAAAATAAAAAGACACTTTATTATAAAACCAAAGAACCAAAATAAAACTGTGTAAATTTAATTTAAAGCATCAAGTATCAAGTATGTGTTTTTACTCATTATTAAAATACTCTTATGGATCTCCAACCGCTATTCTATCATTTATGATTTTGTGCAGTAAGATTTGCACCTGCAATTCTAATTTTTAATATAGAAGACAGAATTTTAATTTGATAGATTATTGTATCATTCTACTAATAATTTACAACTACTACTATATTTACTTTCCAAATTTATATAATCCAATTTATAATAATAGTTCTTATTTATTTTTTAAAAAAAAAGTAAACATAAAATTTAATAAAAAATTTTAACTTCAGAAATTATTTTGCCAATCTAGAATTATCAATATTACTATCTCTATATTTATAACTTTGCATTCTTTAATTTGGAACTTGTTTTTGTTGGCGAAAACAAAATGAAACTAGTTTTTTCTATTTAACATAGTTTAATTTAGATGATGCATTGACTATTTAGCAAGTCACATAAAATGGCAAGTATTACTCCTTTATTTTCAATTTTAATTTCCGTCACCATAAGGATGATTATATACATACATACATACATATAATCCCTTCAATCCTACATATAAGAGCTAGTTAGTTTTCTTTTTTTCTAGTTATAGGTATCTTCCTATTGGAAATAATACACTATTAGACATTAAATGTAAGCATCTCTTCCACGAGAATACAAACCTTTGTTTGTCACGTTGTGAAGGACTAATTGCTTCCGCTATATCCAACTCTTATTGGTATATATTAGGGGGTTTGCTTTGATACTAAATATAAGATTTCATTTTATTTTATCTCATAAATTTATAAGTCTTTCTTAAGTTATCTCTATCGATTGCATATAGGAAAAAATGGGAATAAATCTCTAATTGAAAAGTTAATTGTAGAATAGGACATGACCTTAGATGGCAATAAGTTTGAAGGGTAAAAGATTAAATAACACGAGTTGCATATCCTTGATCTCAAATTAGATATCTGCTTTTAATTGCATATTGCATATATCTTGTTGCATATAGGACCTAATTCCGTATCTTTGATCCCCAATTGTATATCACTGATCATAATTACATATTGTTATCGTGAGTTGTATACGCTTGATTGTAATTGTATATTGCATATATCTGGTTACATATAGGATCTAACTGCATATCACTGATCCTAATTACATATCTTTGATCTCCAATTACATATCACTGATCCTAATTGTATATCCTTGATCCCGAGTTGCATATACTTGATCCTAATTGTATTTCATTAAGGGTATTGTTGTAATTTTATTTCCCTCTTTAATTTTCCGAAAAAAAAACTCAAAAGTCCAGATCTCATTCTGCCATTAACATTTCAAATAGGGATTTATCCCCAATTTTTCCCTGCATATATTAAGTGGGTTTTTATTAAGGGGTGGTTCTAACGTAAATAATTGAAGATATTATTTGTCCCCAATTTTTCCCTGAATACAGATATTTTATAAATAACTAACTTAATAATTTATTTAATATCTGTAAATTAATTATTTAGCCTTTATATTATATTAAGGACAAGAGGGAGCAATAATTATATTACCTAAAAACAAAAGCGAAACAGTTGTATTTACCCTTTGATTTACATGAAATGCTCAAACAACTTGATTCAAAAGTCAGAAACTCATACCCAGAAAAGATTCAGATTCTCGATTGGCCGCTTTAATTTCGTTCTTCACATAAAATATTCTAGCACTATTTATTTTATTTACAAGCATATTCAATTTTTACGTCCACATATAGTGGATTTATAGTCACTGGAAAGATTAATTAAACTTATGAATATTAATAATAACAATTAAAAATAAAATTAAAATTGGAAATTGTAATTTTGATTTTATTGAAACCAAGCTTAAATAGTTAAATGCGAGCCGCCAAGTCTAAGCCCTTCAGGTACTTGGAATTGTCTGACCAACCAATGGGGCTCACTTGACTCAAAAAGTCAAAAACTCTGAGTTTTATTTGAAAAAGTCAAATAATTGGTCATTAGTTTCTTCATAATTGGATTTTTACTCATTAATTAATCCAACATCTTCTAACTAATTTTTTTTCCTATAAAATGATCAACTATATAAAATGAATAAAACTATAGAGCTAAAATTGGTATAATAGAATTTAAAAATAGAGAATTAATAGCACATCAATTTTTTGTCCAACCAATTAAATATGCCGTTCAAGTTCAATAGGTTGAACTATTTTATTTAGGACAAAGTTGCAATCTAATCCCTACTCTTTGTTAGATATAATTTTATTTCTGATTTTTTTAGTGATGCAATTTTACCATTAATCTTTTTTAATGTAATTTTACTCAAAAGATTATCGGTAAAATTGCATTACTGAAAAAATAAGAGTAAACTTATACTGAAAAAATAAAATTAGAAGTAAAGTTATACATTCAGCCTTTAGTTCAAAGGCACAGGCACTGCTGACTTGAGCTACAAACTGAATTGAATCGCAACCTCTTAGTTGCTAGAGATTTCATGCCATTAGGACTGCTTGTACACCCCTCCCCCTTTCATTCATTCAAATACTATATTAGTATCCATTAAATTACCAAAAACAGTAGACAGCTTGACACGTTTTCATAGCTGCCTAAAGAAACAACAGAAAAGTCAAGACAGGTGCCACGTAAAAGTCAAAGAACAAAGATGCTAAACATGAAACAAACAACACGGTACAAAGTATAGTACTGTATTAATCAAACAAAGCATGCATGCAAAAGGCGAAATCAAAAACCACTACGAAAAGCATAAAGGGTAAGCCTCTGCATGAAGATTCTCCGGCTCTTCTATATAAAGCCCCAAACTCGCAACATCAAAACACATCCAAATATTTATTGCCTTATCATCGAGCTTGTACGTTCACACTTCACAAGCCATATATATATATATATATAGAGAGAGAGAGAGAGAGAGAATAGTACAGAAGCTGTAAGTATGACAGCTTTTCGCTTATTCAGGCACAAAGCCTTTGTGTTATTTGTTCCCTTATTTCTACTTTGTAGTTCTTCTGTTTCTGGGTATTCATGGAATGAGGTTAAGGTTTGGTGCAAGCAAACCCCAAATCCTCAACCGTGTGAGTACTTCATGAACAACAATCCCATTCACAGCCAAAAGATCATCAAACACAAAGATGATTTTCTCAAGCTTTCTCTTCAAGTAGCCCAGGAGAGAGCCCTGAAAGGCCATGCAAACACTGTTTCATTAGGACCAAAATGTAGGAACTCACGTGAGAAAGCTGCATGGGCTGATTGCATAGAGCTTTACGAGCAAGCCGTCGAGAAACTCAACAAAACCCTAAACCCCAACACCAAGTTCTCCCAAGTAGATGCTCAAACATGGCTCAGCACGGCTCTCACCAACCTCGAGACGTGCCGAGCAGGCTTCTACGAGCTCGGAGTTCAAGACTTTGTGTTGCCTTTGATGTCCAACAATGTCACTAAGTTGGTGAGCAACACTTTGGCTCTGAACAAAGTTGAATACAAAGAGCCAAGTCATAAAGAAGGGTTTCCAACGTGGGTTAAGCCTGGAGATAGGAAGTTGTTGCAGTCTTCTTCATCTTCTTCTCGGGCCAATGTTGTTGTGGCCAAAGATGGATCTGGCAAATACACAACTATAAGTGCTGCTATAAATGCAGCACCAAAGAGTAGTAGTGGGAGATATGTGATATATGTGAAGGCCGGAACCTACAACGAACAGGTAGAGATAAAGGCAAAGAATATAATGTTGGTGGGAGACGGCATTGGGAAGACTATAATCACAGGAAGTAAAAGTGTTGGAGGAGGCACCACTACCTTCCGGTCAGCCACTGTTGGTAAGTCGAAAGTCATCAAAGTTTAATCTTTCAACATATTTTCAACAATTTTCAATTCATTGGAATTTCCATTCACAACTGTAGGGTTATTATGGCTGCTTCAGAGTTAAAAGCAGCTCAGAGCTCTGTGAAAACCTATATTGGAAGGCCATGGAAGCAATATTCTCGAACAGTGATTATGAGAGCTTTCTTGATAGTTTGATAAACCAGGCTGGTTGGTTTGAATGGAGTGGTAACTTTGCGTTGCACTTAAGAATGGAATTTTTGCAGCCGTAGAACTTGAACCAAAGCCTATTCAACAAAATTCAAGAAGGAAATAAAAAACTGAAAATATAGTCATGATTTATGAATTTTTAAAAATGTGGTTTTAATTTATATTTACGAATGATTTGTCCTTGTAATAATATTAACTCTTGATGTAATTAATATTTTAATAATACTGAATTAGTAATTAACGATGTTAATAATTAACTAAGGAGAAGATGATGAGAAAGAGGCACTACTACAAAAAGGTCTATTCTTGTCTATTTTGAAAATCAGAAGAAATAGAGTCTCAACGCTCATCTGTTAAGACAAAACAAACAAGTATGAGCCCTCATACTCATCTGTTCTTGTAATAGACGAGTACGAGTGGCTTATGCTCGTCTGTTATATAGTAACAGATGAAAAATCTTCCCCCCCTCTACTGACTCAGCACCCATATCTAGCCGTTCCCCATGTAGTTGCCAAAATACGTACTCTCGCGGAAAAAGGCTTAAAGATTAAATGTTCCCTAACAATATCTTTGGGATGCCACTTTTTGAAATTACATTTAGGACAGGGGACACTGAATCTTACCATTTACGCAGCATTGGCGAAAGCAAAATCCAAGAAATAGTTTAGACCAGCCAAGTATTGCGGAGTCGACCGGTTGCAAGTTGATCCACGACCTATCCATGACTAATAATGCTCAAATTTCGTGAAAATATGACACAGAGCTCAAAGAGAAGTTAAAATGGAATTCAGTTGAAGTGCTTCAGCTTATAAAGGAGGCTGGATGAACGGTCATTTTTTTGTAGCGGTTACAAAACCGCTACAAATTTGTAGCGTTTTCAACGGAATTTTCAATTTCCAGCGGTTATTAAAGCTAGAAATTCTAAATATCGGTACAAACCGATAGAAATTCTAGCGGTTTAACGGGAATTTTCTCTCCATCGGTTTTGAATTTTCTAGCGGTTATAAACCGCTAGAAAATTAGGTAAAATTTGCTAATTTTCTAGCGGTTCTGGTGAAATTTCTAGCGGTTTAACGTGAATTTTCTCTCCATCGGTTTGAATTTTCTAGCGGTTATAAACCGCTAGAAAATTCAACTGCTAGAAAATTTGCTAATTTTCTAGCGGTTCTGGTGAACCGCTAGAAAAGTTTGAACCGCTACAAACGCTATTATTTTTAAATATTAAATAGAAATACCGCACAATAAATTAATCATTACGAAAATAAATATTTATTAAATTAATAAATGATTATAGAATTATTTTGATTAATTAACATGTTTAACGTGTTTAATAAATTGTAATGTTGATGTTGTAATAAATAAATAAATATTTCAATATTAATTAGTACTTGACATAAATAAAATTATAGAAATAAATCAATAAAGGAAACAAATAAATATAAAATTTAGATAAATATCTAAATAGTATATAAAACCGTAAAATCAAGACTCTAATAAAATCCCATACAATGAAAGCAAATCATGGGTGGGGGGCAGAAGCAGCATCATCGGGATCATCCTCTGCTGAATCCTCCGGCTGACGGTGGGCAGGCCGCTCAACCTGCTGGGACTGGACTGGCGGATGGCGGGGTAGGGCGGGACTGGTGGCATGTGTAGGTCGGGGATGTCAGGAACCGAGATGTTTGGAGCTATACTGACCACCACATGACGCAGAGCCGTAGCAGCTGCCAAGAGCTGGTCAAGCTGTGTCTGGAGCTAACGATCACGCTCCTGGAACTGACGATCACGCTCCACGATCCTGGCCTCGAACTCTTGTCTGAGCTCCTCTCGCAATTCCTCTGAAGATGAGGAACCCGGCCGCTTCGCACTCGCATGAGAGCTCCCAGCAGTATATGAAGGGCCAGCGCCACTTGAGCGGGGCAACCTAGTCGGTGTAGGTCCAAGTCCAAGCCCGCTAACTCGACCAGGGTGCTGCGGCCGGCCACGACCCGCTAAAAGTGAGGCGGTGGGATCCAAGGCAAACCCCTGAGACTCACGCAACTCGGAATCGACCTGAGTCATCCGTGCCTATCAAAATTAATATAAAGAAGTTAATTATAATATAATGATATCTACACTGTGATATTATATTAATATTTAATTTATTACTTACCGCTATCTCCTCAACCTCATCCGACGCACGCCCGTCTCGGGGTCTATACACCATCGGCCACATCTCGCCATAAGTGGGCGTGTATCCCTGCTCCTGCGGCTGCGTCTTTCCCTCTGTAAATGAAATCAAAGAAATAATTAGTTACAAATTAAATACATCTACATATTTAATAAATTATTTCAAGTACTCACAATCTCGTCATAAGTGATCGCAAAGCTCCTGGATCCAGCCCTATGACGTATCGTCTGATGCCTGACGCTCCTAGCATTTCTCCTAGAAAGAGCCTGAAGCAAAATGTAAAAAAATTAAATTAAATGAGTCAAGTCGGATAAAAAATAAAGAAATTATAATTAATACAATATTATCATACCATCTGGTCAGCCGTCATCCTAAAATAGACGTAAGTGGACCAGTCTTGGTCCGGGACTCCACCAGGTACATCTGCCAGTATCTCCTGGAGGGGCCTCGTCCCGTCACCTTTCTTCTCCCTCCACAGGTCGGCCCTCCTGTTCTTCCATGCCATTCGAGCCTCTTGATCGTGTCAGCCCTCAACTCCTCCCCCAGAATAAATTTACTCTATGATTAAAATAATAAATTAACTAAATAACAAATTAAAAACAAATAATTAAGCAATTTCAATAATCAAAAACAAATAATTAGTTTTTAACTAATTTAACAATATTATAAATAAAATATAAATTAATCAAAAACAAATAATAATTAAAAATTAAGTAATTTAAATGAAAAAATATTTTTACTCAACTAATTTAAAATTATTATAAATAATAAATTAATGAAATCAATAACAAAGATTTTCATTTAACTACTTTTAAATAATTTAAATAAAAAAGATATATTCAGAACTACTTTTAAAATATTATAAATAACAAACAAAGAAATAAAAATAAAAAATTATAATCAAACAATTAAATTATTTGAAAACAAAATATATAATCATTTATTTAAATTAAAAAAAAATTATAAATAACAATTTTATATTACCTTCATCATTTCCCAGCCTTGCTGCTTCTTGTCTGAGGTGATCTTCTTCCAGTCCTGCACGTAGATGGGGAACAGCGTCCACTGCTGACCAAGGAGGCGCACGTACTTGTTGTACAACTGGCCACTTTCTTCGTCGGTTGGCCCAACTCATTGAGCGGCACAACCACTCGTCCGCCCGTCATCATAGACAGCTCTCTGGCTGTCAGCCTCCGATAGGACCTGTTCCCCTCAGTGTTTGCAAAATTTAATTAAGAAATAAATTATATATCAATAAATTAATATAATTTCTATATAAATTAAATACTGATCAAAACTTTAAAAAGTTAAATAAATACTTACCGACAAATTCCACCTCATAACCAGCCTGACGTCTCGGAGCAGGACGCTGTGCAGCCTGGGGATACTCATTCCCCTGATCCTGCTCCTCCTCCTCCTCCTCCTCCTCGTCAGCAGCATCAGCATGGGGTTGCTCATCCCCAGTAAAATGAGTCTCCTCAGTCCGCTCAACACCATCCTGCTCCATAAAACTGAGGATATCCTCCTCGCTCAGATTGTAGTCATGAATGCTGGGGAATGGCTCATCAGCATCATGATGAACCTCACTGGGTCCAGCTCTCTTAGGATCAACTGGGTCTTTCCCGTGTCGACGAGGCATCCTAATAACAACAAATAGTAATTATTTATAAATGAAATAAAAAAATATCATAAGCTAACATATCAAAAATTACTAATTTTTACGAAATAAATTACCAATATCCTGAAAATTCAAGGATCCAAAATGAAAATGGGTTTTAAAGACCAAAAGTTTTTTTCCCAAAACTATATTGTAGGTTTAGAGGAAAACGACTAGATTATATTAGAAGTCATTGAGTTGAATATTGAAATTCCTAACTCAATTTGAAGTTGTTTGGAACCGCTAGAAATTTCTGCGGTTTTGAACCGCTAGATTTCTAGCGGTTCGGTCCATGATTAGAAAATTTCTAGGTTAGTTCGGAAGAAGATGTTATTAAATTTCTAGATTTAAACTCCTCGGGGAATGAAAAAAATTTCTAGCGCTTCATGTATCAACCGCTAGAATTTTTCGGTGTCTAGCGGTTTATTAGCCTGAACCGCTAGAAAGTAAACGCTACAAATTTGGCGCCAAGTTCCCGCCAAAGCCCGGGGAATTTTCTAGCTCTAATTTTCTAGCGGTTAGGGATAACCGCTAGAAATGAATGGGTAATTCATCGTCTGAATAGATTTTAGCGGTTTGTTTATCTAGAATAGAAATATCCCATTTCTCTATTTGAAAACAGACAAATATGACTGCTATTTACATCTCCTCTATCAACGTCTACCTTTAAACAAATAAAAAAAAGCTTCTACAGCGGATGAAAATAATATATTTTGTAGCAGTGAGGGGAAAAAAGGAAGATAAGCAAAGAAGGAGAAGGATAATTATTAATCATGTTAATAATTAAATGATTAACCATATATTATTAATGACTGGAAGTGTTTAAGCCAAGATAGTGTGTTGTGGTTTTCCAGGCTATTTAATTGAGATTTTATGATCTATGAAAATGCCTAATGATTATTGGAGTAAAAGTAATTTAATCCCCATTTGCAAAAATAAAGAGGATATTAAAAATTGTGTAAACTACATAGGAATTAAGCTTATGAGCCATACGATAAAATTATGAAAAAAAGGTGATGGAACACAAGTTGAGATAGGAGACTTGAAATTTTGAAAACCAATTTGGGAAGCAAAAGAAATGTATTTGTTAAGGAGATTAATGAAAAAGTATCAAAGCGAAGGAAGAGATTTGCTTTCATCGATTTGGAAAAAAAAAAAACTTCTAACCATGTTCCGAGATATGTTCTCGGAAAAGACTTGAAAAAAAAAGGGGTGCGTGTGTCGCACTAATCAAGGTCATACAAGATATGTATGAAGGGGTCGGTAACAACTAATATTAAGAATACCTGAAGGCGAGACAAACGACTTTCTTGAGGATATGCTTTTTGCTTATAATATCGTTGATTTCGTTGAGTGAAGAGAAGATATTAATTCTATACTTTATGGAGAAGGACCCTAGGGTCACTACTACAAAATAAGCAAATTTTTGTCTATTTTGAAGCCCTATATTCATTTGTTTAGGAGAGATGTTTAATAGAGATACTAGTTTATATATTTGTCTGTTTCAAAACATATGAATATAGATATACCTATTATTATTTGCTCTAAAATAGATGAATAAGGGCATTCGTATTTGTCTGTTTCGTCTATTTTGGACGAAACAGATAAATATCTATGTGCTTTATATATAAATATATATATATATATATATATCTATATAAGCAGTCTGTAATTTAATAGAACCAAAACAAACAACAAACAATGCAATTTAGCATAACCAAATACATCATGTTATGCTTTCCATACAACAATAATATCATAATTAATTCCATACAGGCTTAGGCTAATCATATAACACAAGAAAGTTTTAAAACCAGAGAATCTTAGTTAAAGAAAAATATATATATACATATATATATTCTAACATAACTAATTATAGCAATTGTATCCAATTAAACTCAATTTCAATAAAATTAAATCAATTTAAGACTAAGTTAAATTATTTAAAAACAACTTACTGACAGACTATCAAAACAACTTATGGACAGAATATGGTCTCAAAGAGATGAAAGCAGATTGAACAGGGGAATCAATGCTAACTCTATCATTTGGGACCTGTAGGATCCATGAGCAAGGATAAATTTTGGTTCTAGTATTTTTTAATATGTTCTTTGAGAAGTATTCTTTTCGATATAAAACAAAACAAAACATTTGTGGTATTGATGAAACATTACTTACTCGATATTCAACTCAAGCTTTCCAATATGGTTTAAATCATAGATCCCAACACTACTACCTACCCTATAATAAAAATGAAATTATTAAAAAAAAAAAAGCCAACAATCAATTTCAATAGAAAACCTACACACCCACACAATACTTACATTCATCCCTTTCAAAACCCACATATACCTAGCGTGGAAGAAGAGGAGCTCGTGAGCGCCGCTGCTGGAAGAAAAGGATGTGCCATCACTACTGGAAGAAAGAACCCATGTTCACGGCGGTTTGGAGAGTTCGTGGGCTTGTGGCCATCACCGCTGGAAGATGAGAAGTGGCGAGAATATGGAGTCTCGGTCCAGAACGAAGGTTGAGAGGTCATGGGAGAAGAGAAAAGCTAAGGAGAAGAGATGGTGCTAGAAGAAAGGAGCTTGCGATGAAGGAGAGAAAAGAAAAGAATGGCGCCGGTGCATGCATTAGGGCAATCTGATTAAAGAAACTGAGCAAAATTTTAAAATAAGGTTTTTGTCTGTTACATAGTGACAGACGAGTATGAAGGACCTTTTTCATCTGGTTTTCAAAGCAAACAACAATGGGAGACAAAAATAAACTGTTTTGTAGTAGTGAGTTGGAGGATTTTCTCTTAAATAGGAGTAAAACATTACACACACACACATTGTTATTTTGATAAGAGATTGCTAGAAGTGATTTGGAGATTAAAATGAGAGATCAAATCATTCTATATATAAGTAGCCAAGTTCAGATATTTACGATCAATTATACTATAACATGGTGAAATTGATGAAGATGTCAGCATAGAATTCAAACAGGATGGTTTAAACAGAAAAAGCTACTAAAATTATTTGTGACAAAAAAGTACCTAATAAAGTAAAAGAAATGCTATATAATAGTGAATGTTAGGTTTTAAACAAACGACACGGGTATAACATGGGGATAGGTGGAATGACAAATGATAATATTAAGATGAGTGTGTGATCGTATAAGGACAATAATATTTGTGATGAACATATTCATGAAAGAATTGCCATGACGATATCTATTGAAGAGAAATTGCTAGAAAATTATTTAAGGCGGTTCGGATAGGTTCAAAGAAATTCATTCAATGCGCCAATGAGAACGGGTACATCAAGATTCAAGCATGAAGTCCTCTAATTAAAGAGAAGCAGAAGAAGACTGAGGAGACAATAAAAAAAAATTTGCTTCCCATATCAAAACTAGAAACTCTGGTTACAAATTTACGATCCACCAATTTTCAAGTTAAAATTCCATTTTCCTTAAAATGAGAAAATCTGATTCAAAATTTTACTCTAGTTACATGAAGTTCCAAAAATAATGATTAGATACTATTTGCAAGATGCACCGAGCTATTTAAGTATTTTAGTTTTCGCATATTCATTTAAGACCTTTGACACTTTATCATCATTTCAAAATTCCTTGGGATGTTCTTATAATTAAATAATTCTCTCGGGACTTAAATATGTACGTTATGCTCACAAAACACAATTTTATATTTTTCAGATCAATTCATATGGTTTAGGATGTTTGACTTGGTAAAAAAAAAATCTTCATGATGGTGATGATGATTATAATAGTAATTACCTAAAAAAAAAAAAAGTGAAACAGTGTTGTATCCTTTGATGGATTTGCATGAAATGCTTTCACAACTTTATTTAAAAGTCAGAAACTTTTACCCATAAGAAAGTCGGATTCTCGATTGGCCGCTTCCTTCATTTGAATTTCAATGATTAAAAAGCTTTCGTCCTTCATAGTCTATTATTATATTATTTATTTAAAAGCATATTCATTTGTTTACCGATATTAATTAATAATTAATAATAAAATATATTTTAAAAATTGTAATTTTTATTTTTTTCAGGCACAGGTATTCTCTCTTATTCGAGGCCATCATTAAAACCAAACTAGATTAAAATGGCTACCACAAGTAGGCCCATTGCGTAGAGGGCATTCTCTCAAGTCTCATCAACTGGTAAGGCCATCTGATTCAAAAGTCAATAACTCTGGGCTTGTTTTGAAAGTCATGTCATTGGTAATTAATTTCTTCAAATTTGGATTTTCGCTCATTAATTAATCCAACATTTTGAACTAAATATTAAAAATCTCGATGCGCTAACGAGTGTAATGAGCATGCAAATTTAAATTATTAAAAATGTATTTAAATAGTACAAGTTTTATCACCGCTATAAGCACTGAAACCTGGTCCACTAGCTAGCATCATTGTTAGCCTTTTTTTCCTTATTTTTTAATCCTTTTTCTCTTATTAGTTATTCTCTCTTTAATCCTTTCTAATTTCACAACTACAAATCTTGTCTTATAGGAAATAAAAACGATTATTCCACTAGCTTAGCTCGTACCATGCATATTCCAGTCAAATACTATTATATGGCATCAATCCATTAAATTGCCAAAAACAGTAGACGGCTTAATACGTTTTCACTAGCTGCTTAGAGATGCAACAGAAAAGTCAAGTCAAGAATGGTGCCACGTAAAAGTCAAAGACAAAGATGCTAATCATGAACAAGCAGCATGAACATAGCACAAGTATGTTACTATATCAATCAAATAAAACATACATTCATGGAAAGGCGAAAACGAAAACCACTATGCATAGCCAACAGCTCAATCTTTGCCTCTTCTATATAAAGGCATCAACTCAACATCAAACCCCATCCAAACACTAAAAACAATTTCCTCTTTCCCTTTCTCTTAGAATCGACATTGTTCACAGGCCATATGTATAAAGAATAGTACAAAAGCTCTCACTATGGCAGCTTTTCGCCTTTTCTCGCACAAGGCCTTTTTGTTATTTGTTCCCTTATTTCTACTTTGTAGTTCTTCTGTTTCTGGGTATTCATGGAATGAGGTTAAGGTTTGGTGCAAGCAAACCCCAAATCCTCAACCGTGTGAGTGCTTCATGAACAACAATCCCATTCACAGCCAAAAGATCATCAAACACAAAGATGATTTTCTCAAGCTTTCTCTTCAAGTAGCCCAGGAGAGAGCCCTGAAAGGCCATGCAAACACTGTTTCATTAGGACCAAAATGTAGGAACTCACGTGAGAAAGCTGCATGGGCTGATTGCATAGAGCTTTACGAGCAAGCCGTCGAGAAACTCAACAAAACCCTAAACCCCAACCCCAAGTTCTCCCAAGAAGACGCTCAAACATGGCTCAGCACGGCTCACACCAACCTCGAGACGTGCCGAGCAGGCTTCTACGAGCTCGGAGTTCAAGACTTTGTGTTGCCTTTGATGTCCAACAATGTCACTAAGTTGGTGAGCAACACTTTGGCTCTGAACAAAGTTGAATACAAAGAGCCAAGTCATAAAGAAGGGTTTCCAACATGGGTTATTAAGCCTGGAGATAGGAAGTTGTTGCAGTCTTCTTCTTCATCTTCTCGGGGCAACGTTGTTGTGGCCAAAGATGGATCTGGCAAATACACAACTATAGGCGCTGCTATAAATGCAAACACTGTTTCATTAGGACCAAAATGTAGGAACTCACGTGAGAAAGCTGCATGGGCTGATTGCATAGAGCTTTACGAGCAAGCCGTCGAGAAACTCAACAAAACCCTAAACCCCAACCCCAAGTTCTCCCAAGAAGACGCTCAAACATGGCTCAGCACGGCTCTTACCAACATCGAGACGTGCCGAGCCGGCTTCTATGAGCTGGGAGTTCAAGACTACGTGTTGCCTTTGATGTCCAACAATGTCACTAAGTTGTTGAACAACACTTCGGCTCTGAACAAAGTTGAATACGAAGAGCCAACTTATAAAGAAGGGTTTCCAACATGGGTTATTAAGCCTGGAGATAGGAAGTTGTTGCAGTCTTCTTCTTCATCTTCACGGGGCAACGTTGTTGTGGCCAAAGATGGATCTGGCAAATACACAACTATTGGCGCTGCTATAAATGCAGCACCAAAGAGCAGTTGTGGGAGATATGTGATATATGTGAAGGCTGGAATCTACAACGAACAGGTAGAGATAAAGGCAAAGAATATAATGTTGGCGGGAGACGGCATAGGGAAGACTATAATCGCAGGAAGTAAAAGTGTTGGAGAAGGCACCACTGCCTTCCGGTCAGCCACTGTTGGCAAGTCGAAAGTCATCAAAGTTTAATCTTTCAACATATTTTCATATATATCCTTTATTAAGCCCGATTCTATCTGATATGAGAATTCCCATACCAAAACACTGGAATTTCCATTCACAACTGTAGGGTTATTATGGCTGCTTCAGAGTTAAAAGCAGCTCAGAGCTCTGTGAAAACCTATATTGGAAGGCCATGGAAGCAATATTCTCGAACAGTGATTATGAAGAGCTTTCTTGATAGTTTGATAAACCAGGCTGGTTGGTTTGAATGGAGTGGTAACTTTGCGTTGCACTTAAGAATTGGAATTTTTGCAGCCGTAGAACTTGAACCAAAGCCTATTCAACAAAATTCAAGAAGGAAATAAAAAACTGAAAATATAGTCATGATTTATGAATTTTTAAAAATTTGGTTTTAATTTATATTTTACGAATGATTTGTCCTTGTAATAATATTAACTCTTGATGTAATTAATATTTTAATAATACTGAATTAGTAATTAACGATGTTAATAATTAACTAAGGAGAAGATGATGAGAAAGAGGCACTACTACAAAAAGGTCTATTCTTGTCTATTTTGAAAATCAGAAGAAATAGAGTCTCAACGCTCATCTGTTAAGACAAAACAAACAAGTATGAGCCCTCATACTCATCTGTTTCTTGTAATAGACGAGTACGAGTGGCTTATGCTCGTCTGTTATATATGTAACAGATGAAAAATCTTCCCCCCCTTAAATTTCATCTGCTTCTTCATCTCTTTTTGTTCCTTTGAACAAGTGAAAACCCTAGCCACATTCCTTATTCTCTTCTCTTCTCCTTTTGTTGTGACTTCTTCCCCTTCTCCTTCAAATTTTTGCTCCTTTTCTGAAGCCCACGAGCTATGTACTTCTTCCTCTCCTCTCCTTCACCTTTCTCTCCTTCTCCACTCCTTGGTCGTGCGAGTCTAAGCTTCTTCTCTCTTCTCTTGCTTGCATGAGAAGGTTCTTTCCTTTCTTCTCCATAGCTCGAGCTTTGCAAGACGCAAGGTAAGTTATTTAGTTTGGAGGTGGATGTTTTAGTTGTGTGTAAATGTTATATGGGTGTTAAAATTGATTGTTGGATTTGTAGGTGTTGAAAGTTTCCTATTTAATTTGATTCTTGGTGAATAATTATTTTTGGAAAGCATTGATTGTGATTGGGCAAAGTATTTGAAGATTAAAAGCACGCTAAACTTGTTTATATGTTAATGCACATAAGGTATTGGTGAAAATGCCTAGGAGAAGAATTTGGTTAGAATAGGATAGTTAACTAAGTATCCTCAATGTCTAATCTCCATGTTGAATTTTAGAAAGCTATATGGATGTTATTTGAATGCAAATCCTTTTTAAATGGTGGTGATGAGAGCCTTTGTTGTTTGTCTTGGGTTCCCAATCAAAAATAAATCCAAACAATACAATAAAGTGCAAAACTCAGGTTGTTTCACATTAAGGAGCCTTTATTTGAAATCCCAAGCCAAGTAAGCATCAAAAACAATAAATTGACAAGGGAGAAAAGTTTTGGGTTTTGACAATTAGTTTTACTTTACTAACCATTAAAGATGTCATGGAATAAATCTAAACTACTATTTTTTTTTATATTTTCTTTTATAAAAGTGGATGGGAATGGATATGATAAAACGTATGAGATTAATGCTTCTAAGAAATAGATTAATAACGTTCCTTGTTCAAAATATTTTGGGAGTTAAAAACAATGCACGAAGTCTCAATAGAAAACCTTAAAACATCGTTTGAATCAAGCAATCTTAATTGGTGATTATTTCTACTACCGTAGCTAATAAACACCTCTTAAGTTACTATTGAAAACTACTTAGTGTGCAACTTTGATTAAGTTAAATAGCTCATTTCTCTTAAAGAATAATGCTCAACCAAGACATGAATAGAGTGCTCAACCGAAACACTCAAAAGTAAGCTCAAATCAATTGTATCATCCACACTAACATGCCAAACAGTACAATATCAATAAACTCACAAAAGGGAATATAAGAATATATAACATTCAAGCCACAAAGTCCAATCACAATCACAAGTGCTCAATTCAACAGAGACAAGCAACTGAAATCTTAGTCTCCAACATTACAAAACACCATTCTACAACCAGATAATCCAAATATAGATAAGAGAAAATGAATCGAATAAATTTAACTCCCCTATTAGCTTCTGGAACTCCAGCCACTGCTCCATCTCAAAGAGGAAGTCGAAGAGCTTAGCCATACATAATTTAAAAATCTGCTGCAATGAGCTCCTTCATACCGTCGGCCATGGCAGCAAAGAAGAAGATGCAGGTGACAATGAAGATGGAGAATGTGAGACAGGGACAGTGTTAAAGGACTGGAAGGGAAAGCACGAGTGGGAGAGGAGAAATGGAGGAAGGCCGTTGGGTTTTGAAGAGGAATAGAGACAGAGATCATGAATCTGGAAAATGGAGTGGAGTAGAAAGAAAGAGAAGACGGACTGGAAGAAGAGGATTGACGGTGATGATGAAGGTGAACAGTGGAGGTCGTCGTTGGTGAATGATGGAGTAGTGAGGTCGCTGAAGGTCTCTCTTCTGCCCATGCGTGAGCTTCCCCCTCTTTAAGAAGAATCAAAATCAATTTTAAGCCCTAATCAAACGCTGTGCATTGGCTTTGGGTCCTTCTTTGTATTTTCTCAAATTTGCCAGTCCTTTGCTATAATTTGTTACTTTCAGCTTTCCATTTAAATTTTCCTACAATAAAATTCAAGATAATGTAACATCATATTTTTCAAAAAAAAAAAATCAAGGGAAAACAAAAAAAAAATGACTATTGAATTTCAAAATTTCAAATCAGTATTAATTACTATACTTGTAAAGAAAATAACTATACTCAAAAAGCAAATAAAAACAGATATTTTTTAGTAATTCCTTATTTCTCATTTTGAAATTCAACAATCATTTTTTTTGGGATTTTCTCAAAAATCAATCAATCAAAATAAATCATAAGAATATGATATTTTTGAGCTTTTTAACTACAGTTTTATCCAATCATTTTTAATTCAAATTAATCATAATAAATGTAATCAAGCCCAATTTAATTGATAAAAATCCCAGATACGATATGAAAAATCATGATAAAATAAGCATTTATCAGGTGGTTAAGAATGTAGTATCTAATTTGAGACTTCTTTTTAAATGTGATTATATATAACATGTTGGTTGTGGTTGGCTTTAAATTGATTAATTGCATTTAGATAACATTGAATATTGATTGGGCAAAGCATTTTTAGACTGAAAAAGTTTGGTAAACTTGCTTAAATTTTATTGTATATAAGGTATTTGTGAAAATGTATTTAATAGGGTAGTTAATTAAGTACCCTCAATTTTTAATAGTCATGTTCAATTTTAGAAAGCTATGTGATGTTATTTGAATAAATATATATATATATATATATGACTTCTTTGAAATTTGATTGGATATAATCATGTTTTAAAAAATGTTGGTTTTTTTTAATAATTTTATCTTTATTATATTGTAGGTACTTAGTATTGGAAGAAACGTACTTCAAATTATATTAGAAACTTTGAGTTGAATATTACAAGCATCCTAACTAATATTGTAAGTAATGTTTCATCACTACTATAAATGTTTTGCTTTTTTAAGAGTTTTATTCTCAATGATATGAGAAATTAATTTTCTATTAGGATGTTTAGGTCTTTTTGCTATTTTTTTTTAAAAAAATATATATTTATATTTGTTTGTTCTAAAGTAGAACAGATGAATTTGGACCACTATATTCGTCTATTCTGTCTAGAATAGATACTCGTCTATTCTATCTAGAATGGAAAAATATGAAGGCCCATATTCATCTGTTTGAAAACAAATAAATATATAACTACTATTTACATCTCTTCTATCAACATCTTCCCCTAAATAAACGAAAAAAGCTCCCAAAACAAACGAAAATAACATATTTTGTAGTAGTGAGGAGCAAAAAAGAAGATAAGCAAAGAAGGAGAAGGAGAATTATTAATTATGCTTATAATTAACTGATTAACCATGTTAGCCAAGATAGCGTGTTGTGGTTTTCCAAGCTATTTAATGAGATTTTATGATCTACGAAAATGCCTAATGATTATTGGAGTAAAAGTAATTTAGTCCCCATTTGCAAAAATAAAGAGGATATTAAAAATTGTGTAAACTACATAGGAATTAAGCTTATGAGCGATACAATAAAATTGTGAAAAAAGGTGATAGAAGACAAGTTGAGATAGGAGACTTGAAATTTTGAAAACCAATTCGAGTTTATACCAATAAAGTCTAGAACAAAAGAAATGTATTTGTTAAAGAAGTGTCAACGCGAAGGAAGAGATTTGCTTTCATTAATTTTTTTTGGGGGGGGGGGACTTTTGACCACGTTATGAGAAATGTTCTTGGAAAAGTCTTGGAAAAAAAAAAAAAAGAAGTGCGTGTGTTGCACTAATCAAAGTCATACAAGATATGTATGAAGGGGCTGGTAACAATTAGTATAAGAATACCTGATGGTGAGATAAATGACTTTTCTAAGGACATGCTTTTTGCTTATAATATACTACCTCCGGTCCTTAATATAAGACCCTGTTTGACTTTTATTTTGGTCTTAAATATAAGATCTCAATCCACTTTGTCTATTATATTTACTCAATTTTTTCCAAAATAGCCCTTCTAATAATTATAGTTATAGTCAATACACTTGATTAGCAAGGATGTTTTAGGAAAGACAATACCTATTTATGACAAATAACTAACTCAATTTACTTCTTTAATCTCTTCAAATTAGTCAACTAGTTCTTATAATTAGGACCGAAGGTAGTAGTTGATTTGGTTGAGTCAAGAGAAGATGTTAATTCTATACTTTATGGAGAAGGACCCTAGAGTCACTACTACAAAATAAGCAATTTTCATCTATTTTGAAGCCCTATATTCATTTGTTTAGGAGGAAATGTTCACTGAAGAGACACAGATATTAGTTATATATTTGTCTGTTTCAAAACAGATGAATATAAATATACATATATTTGTTTGTTCTAAAATAAATGAATATGGGCAACCATATATGACTATTTCATCTGTTTTGGATAGAACAGACGAATATGGAGTAGCATATTCGTCTCTTCTATCGAGAATAGATAAAAATATGTGTTTTGTACACACACATATATAAAGTAGTACAATATTTGCACGGACAATTTTGACAACCTGTAATTCAATAGAACCAAAACGAACTACAAACAATGCAATTTAGCATAACCAAACCCATCGTGTTATGCTTTCCATACAACAATAACATCCTAATTAATTTCATACAAGCTTAGGCTAATCATATAATACAAGAAAGTTCTAAGACTAGAGAATCTAACTTAGTTAAAGCAAAAAATAAAAAAATAAAAAAATAAACATTCTAACATAACTAATTGTAGCAATTGTATCCAATTAAACCCAATTTCAACAAAACTAAAGCAAATTAAGACTAAGTTAAACTATTTAAAAACAACTTACTAACAGAATATCAAAACAACTTATGGACAGAATATGGTCTCAAAGAGATGAAAGTAGATTGAACAGGAGAATCAACACTAACTCTATCATTTGAGACCTATAGGATCCATATGCAAGGATAAATTTTAGTTCTGGTAATTTTTTTTTTAATATGTTCTTTGAGAAGTATTCTTTTCAATATTAAAAAAAAAGCATTTGTAGTATTGATGAAACATTACTTACTCGATATTCAACTCAAACTCTCCCAACACTACTACCTCCCGCATAGTAAAAATGAAATTATATATATATAAAAAAAAAGCCAACAATCAATTTCCATAGAAAACCTACACAGTCACACCCACACAATACTTACATTTATTTCTTTCAAAACCCACAAAATCCGCATAATATAAAAGCCACATACCCACATACACCTTGCGTGGAAGAAGAGGAGCTCGTGAGCGCCGCTGCTGGAAGAAAAGGATGTGCTATCACTACTGGAAGAAAGAACCCATGTTCACGGGGGTTTGGAGAGCTCGTGGGCGTGCGGCCGTCGCCGTTGGAAGACCAGAAGTCGAGAGAATATGGAGTCTCGGTTCATGACGAAGGTTGAGAGGTCATGGGAGAAGAGAAAAGCGAAGGAGAAGAAAGAGACGCTGCTGGAAGAAAGGAGCTTGCAGCGAAGGAGAGAAAAGAAAAGAATGGTGCTGGTGCATGCATTAGGGCAATTTGATTAAAGAAGCTGAGCAAAATTAAAAAAAGAAGAAGGGGTTTTTGTCCATTACATAGAGTGCCAGACGAGTATGAAGGACCTTTTTCTTCTAGTTTTCAAAACAGACACAAATAGGGGACAAAAATAAACTGCTTCGTAGTAGTGAGTTGGAGGATTTTCTCTTAAATAGGAGTAAAACATTATACACTCACACGCACACGCACACTGTGTTTTTGATAAGAGACTTGCTAGAAGTGATTTGGAGATTAAAATGAGAGATCAAATCATTCTACATATAAGTAGCGAAGTTCAGATATTTATGATCAATTATACTAAAATATGGTGAAATTGATGAAGACGTCAACATAGAATTCAAGCAGGATGGTTTAAACAAAGAAATGCTACTAAAGTTATCTGTGACCAAAAAGTACCCAATAAAATAAAAAAGAAATGCTATATATAGTAGTGAATGTTGGGTTTTAAACATACCACATGAATATAAAGTGGGGATAGGTGAAATGACAAATGATAATATTAAAATGAATGTGTGATTATATAAGAAAAATAGGATTTGTGATTAACATATTCATGAAAGAATAGACATGATGATATCTATTGAAGAGAAATTGCTAGAAAATTATTTGAGGCGGTTCGGATAGGTCCAAAGAAATTCATTCAATGCACCAATGAGAATAGTGCATCAAGATTTAAGCATGAAGTCCTCTAAAGAGAAGCAGAAGAAGACTGAGTAGAAAATAAAATTTTTTTTTGCCATATCAAAACTAGAAACTCTGGTTACAAATTCACGACACAAAATTACAAATAATTATTTGGCCAAAACAGAAGTTACCAATAATCGAGTAATAGTTAGCAAAAACTTGGCAGTGACCCACCAATTTTCAAGCTAGAATTCTATTTACCCTAAAATGGGAAACTCTAATTCTAAATTTTACTGTAGTTACATGAAGTTCCAAAAATAATGATTGGATACTAATTGCATAATGTACCGAGCTATTTAAGTATTTTGGTTTTCGCATATTCATTTTGACACTTTATTGTCATTTCAAAATTCCTTGGGATGTTGTTATAATTAAATAATTCTCTTGGGACTTAAAAATGTACGTTAGGCTCCCAAAATACAATTTTATATTTTTCACATCAATTTTATATGGTTTAGGATGTATCACTTGGCCAAAAAAAAAAATCTTCATGACGATGGTGATGATTATAATAGTAATTACCTAAAAACAAAAGTGAAACAGTGTTGTATCCTTTCATGGATTACTTTATTTAGAAGTCAGAAACTTTTACCCATAACAAAGTCGGATTCTCGATTGGCCGCCTTCTTTATTTGAATTTCAATGATTAGAAAGCTTTCGTCCCTCATAGTCTGTTACTGCATCCCGTCCTAATTATAAAAACCAAATGATTAATTTAAGGAGATTAAGAAAACAAATTGAGTTAGTTATTTATTCTAAATAGGTATTATCTTTCCTAAAATATCCGTGCTAATTAATTGTATTGACTAGAATTATCATTGTTAGAAAGACTACTTTAGAAAAAAATGTATAAATATGAGAGACAAAATGAATTAGGATCTTATATTTAAGATCAAAATAAAAATCAAATAAGATCTTATATTAAAAATAAGAGGTAGTATTATATTATTTATTTAAAAGCATATTCATTTGTTTACCGATATTAATTAATAATTAATAATAAAATATTCGAGGCAATCATTAAAACCAAACTAAATTAAAATGGCTACAACAAGTAGGCCCTCTGCGTAGAGGGCATTCTCTCAGGTCTTATCAACTGGCAAGGCCGTCTGATTCAGAAGTCAATAACTCTGGGCTTCTTTTGAAAGTCATGTCATTGGTAATTAATTTCTTCATATTTAGCATATGAGTGTAGCAAAAGGCATTAGTTTCTCATGATATAGTGAATTAATATTTGAATCTTTATTAGTAGAGATATTCACATTTAGTGCCTGACAGTATCTCGAATAAGATTACCTTTAATAGGAGAATACCTATGTTTTAGTATCCAAAAAAATCTTCATATTTGGATTTTTGCTCATTAATTAATCCAACATTTTCAACGAACTACTACCTCCGATCCTAATTATAAAAGCCAGTTAACTAATTTGAAGAGATTAAAGAAACAAGTTGAGTTAGTTATTTATCTCAAATAGGTGTCGTATTTCCTAAAATATCCTTGTTAATAAAGTGTACTGACTAGAACTATTATTGTTAGAAGGATTACTTTGGAAAAAATATATATAAATATGAGAAACAAAGTGGATTGGAGTCTTATATTTAGGACCAAAATAAAAGTCAAACAGAATCTTATATTAAGGACTGGAGGTAGTATTAAAGATCTCGATGCGCTAACGTGTGATGAGCATACAAGTTTAATTTAGACGGTGCAGAATTAATTTTTTGTTAATTTAATTTTTTTAAAGAAAAATTATTTTTTGTTTAAGAAATTTAAAATAAATATAATTTTTAATTGTCATTTTTTCAAAAAATAATTTATCACTTGCTGAAATTTTTTAATCTAAATTATTAAAAATGTATTTAAATAGTACAAATTTCATCATAGTTATGAGCACTAAAACAAGCCAGGTCCCCTAGCTGGCATCATTGTTAGCCTTTTTCCTTAGTTTTTTAAATATTTTTTCTCTTATTAGTTATTCTCTCTTCAATCCTTTTTTAATTTCACAACTACAAGTCTTGTCTTATTAGAAATAAAAACGATTACTCCACTGGCTTGTACCATGCATATTTCAGTCAAATACTATTATATGGCATCAGTCCATTAAATTGCCAAAAACAGTAGACGGCTTAACACGTTTTCCCTAGCTTCTTAGAGAAGCAACAGAAAAGTCAAGTCCAGAGAGGTGCCACGTAAAAGTCAAAGACAAAGATGCTAATCATGAACAAACAGCATGAACATAGCACAAAGTATGTTACTATATTAATCAAATAAAACATATATTCATGCAAAGGCGAAATCGAATGCCACAATGCATAGCCACCAGCTCAATCTTTGCCTCTTCTATATAAAGGCATCAACTCAACATCAAAACCCATCCAAACACTGAAAAATAATTTCGACTTTCCCTTTCTCATAGAATCGAGATTGTTCACAGGCCATATATATAAAGAATAGTACAAAAGCTCTCATTATGGCAGCTTTTCGCCTTTTCATGCGCAAGGCCTTTGTGTTATTTGTTCCCTTATTTCTACTTTGTAGTTCTTCTGTTTCTGGGTATTCATGGAATGAGGTTAAGGTTTGGTGCAAGCAAACCCCAAATCCTCAACCGTGTGAGTACTTCATGAACAACAATCCCATTCACAGCCAAAAGATCATCAAACACAAAGATGATTTTCTCAAGCTTTCTCTTCAAGTAGCCCAGGAGAGAGCCCTGAAAGGCCATGCAAACACTGTTTCATTAGGACCAAAATGTAGGAACTCACGTGAGAAAGCTGCATGGGCTGATTGCATAGAGCTTTACGAGCAAGCCATTGATAAACTCAACAAAACCCTAAACCCCAACCCCAAGTTCTCCCAAGAAGACGCTCAAACATGGCTCAGCACGGCTCTTACCAACATCGAGACGTGCCGAGCCGGCTTCTATGAGCTGGGAGTTCAAGACTACGTGTTGCCTTTGATGTCCAACAATGTCACCAAGTTGTTGAGCAACACTTTGGCTCTGAACAAAGTTGAATACAAAGGGCCAAGTTATAAAGAAGGGTTTCCAACGTGGGTTAAGCCTGGAGATAGGAAGTTGTTGCAGTCTTCTTCATCTTCTTTTCGGGCCAATGTTGTTGTGGCCAAAGATGGATCTGGCAAATACGCAACTATAACTGCTGCTATAAATGCAGCACCAAAGAGTAGTGGTGGGAGATATGTGATATATGTGAAGGCCGGAATCTACAACGAACAGGTAGAGATAAAGGCAAAGAATATAATGTTGGTGGGAGACGGCATTGGGAGGACTATAGTCACAGGAAGTAAAAGTGTTGGAGGAGGCACTACTACCTTCCGGTCAGCCACTGTTGGTAAGTCGAAAGTCATCAAAGTTTAATCTTTCGACATATTTTCAAATTTGTTAGAATGTTTTATCGTAGGATTCATATAATTGATCCCACCTAGTGAGATAAATGCTAAGAATTTATAGGTCTCTCAACTTATATATATATATATATATATTTATATTTATATTTATATTTATATATTCTTTATTAAGCCCGATTCTATCAGATATGAGACTTCCCACATCAACCATTCAAAAACTTAATTGGGTATGGATTTTTTCAGCTGTTGTTGGGGATGGGTTTATTGCACAAGGCATCACATTTAGAAACACTGCTGGAGCTTCAAATCACCAAGCTGTTGCCCTACGTTCTGGTTCAGATTTATCAGTTTTTTACAGATGCAGCTTTGAGGGATACCAAGACACATTGTATGTGCACTCTGACAGACAGTTCTATAGAGAATGTGACATTTATGGCACTGTGGATTTCATCTTTGGAAACGCAGCTGTGGTTTTCCAGAACTGCAACATTTTCGCTAGAAACCCTCCAAACAAAGTCAACACAATCACGGCACAAGGCCGAACTGATCCAAACCAAAACACTGGAATTTCTATTCACAACTGTAAAGTTATGGCTGCTTCAGACTTAAAAGCAGTTCAGAGCTCTGTGAGAACCTATCTTGGAAGGCCATGGAAGCAATATTCTCGAACAGTGATTATGAAGAGCTTTCTTGATAGTTTGGTAAACCAGGCTGGTTGGTTGGAATGGAGTGGTAATTTTGCGTTGAACACTTTATATTATGGAGAGTATATGAACACTGGTTCAGGTTCTTCCACTGCAAATCGAGTTAAGTGGTCAGGTTTCCACGTAATCGCTAGTGCTTCAGAAGCTTCAAAGTTCACTGTTGGGAACTTCATTGGAGGAAATTCATGGTTGCCAGCCAGCAGTGTTCCTTTCACCTCTGCTTTATAGATCATTGCATTATGTTATAGTTGATTGTTGTTGGTTCTAGGCCATATGTTCATTTGTTCTAATTCGTTAATTTGTGTCGCCATGATTGTTTGTAAAATCCCTAGTTAGTAGCATGTAGTTGATATGGAACATTGCTTTTGTGTAACAAATGAATACGTTTTTATTGTATGTGTTCAAAATATGGTCACATGCCCATAAAGTTTACGAGTTTCGTCCTTTCCATTTTATTGATATATTTTAAAATTAACTCTCTCTCTCTCTCTCTCTCTCTCTATCTATCTATCTATCAATCTATCTACACCAAACATCTGCATAATACCATATGGGTCTGCTCTAAAAAGTAGTTTGACTTTAGAAAAAGAAATTTTGTTGTGTAGAGGTAGAACAAAGCTATTCAACAATACTCCATAGATAAAAGAAGAATGTAAGAACGACTCATGAATTTTTAAAATTTTGTTTTTATTTTGCTTTATTTATGACTTGTACTAGTAATAATAAGTAATAATGAGCTCTTGATGTAATTAATAGTTTAATAATAATGAATTATTAATTAATCATATTAATAATTAATTATGAAGGAGGAAAAAAGGAGAAAGATCATAAGCAGAGGAGAGAGAATTAGTAATTTAATTATCATTTATGATTTTGTTCTTTATAATAGAATGATAATTAAGGATCTTCCTAGACAAATAATATAAAATGAGGACTTGTGTATAGCTGAAACTTTGATATTTACAGCTCAACTTTCATATTTACGATTTGAAGATCTTAATTTTCTTATAAGATTCTTAGGACACGTTTGGACTGCAGTTTCAAACTGCAGTTATGTCTTGGAATTTATGAAACTGAGGTTGCAAACTAAATTGGACAAAAACTGTTGTTTGGCTAGGCTAACTTTTTCAACCAACTTCTGGCTTTCAACCTCAGTTGGACTCAACAGAAAAAAATCTGACTTTTCAAACTGTAATTTCAAATGGTAATTATTAAAAATAAACATCCCAGATTTACCCTCACATTTTCCCCTTTGCCTCATCTTCTTCCTTAGAATAATAAACTTTTATTCAGACCAAATGAATTTTAATTTATATTCATGTTTGTCCATTATGTATATTTAATTAATTATCTACAATATGTTTTTAAATTTTTCTTCATAAAAAATATTTTTATTTTATAATTTCACAAATAAACTATTTATATTTTATTATAATAATTTTACATATTTTTTAAACTATTATCACATTAAAAACATAAAATTTCAAACACTACTATTCAATAAAGTCTATACCCTTTTCAGTTATTTTACAACTAAACTAACTTTTCTATTAATCATCCAAACAACTTTCAACTTTTTCAACTGACTTTTTAAAAACACATATCCAAACATACCCTAACTGACTTTTACTCTAATTTCAGTTACAAAAATCAATTGAGCTAGAAGTCAGTTTTGCCCAACGTCAATCCAAACATACCTTTACTTATCATTTGCCCTTTAATTTAAGCAGTAAAAAAGAAAGGAGCATATCTAAGAGGAGGCCAATAACCCTTTTCATTTCTTTATGATAAAAGGGATCGGAGAAGAACTATTGTTCTTATTATTTAAAAAAAAAATATTATGCTTCAGGAATTAGGATTGTTGTGATCTCCTAGTCCTATCAAGAAAAACATCTAAACACAGAAAACAAGTGCATTATAATATTCAATCCAAATTACAGCAACTATAATGCACCTATATCCATATAACTTTGAAAACGAAAACAGATAGCAAACACATGGAAAGAGGAGAAAGATAACAGAAGCAAAAAGAAAAGATACACAGGGAAGAGAAAGACAGAATTTCCCATTCCTGGCTCTTTTCATGTCGCTGCCAGGAGAAAAGAAGAAAGGTACTGTATATTAATCATCACCCACTCAACAAAATTGATACAATGTTCTCAGCAGCTGCTTAATAATTAATTGAGCACAAAATATTTCAGATACTGCCCAATTCCTCTGCCAAATAAATCTTCCCCTCAATCGCCAATTACAAGAAATAAGTAATGAACAGGTGATGCAGTCCCAAGTGTCAGAGCATGATGTCGTTTATTTTACCTTCAACCATCATCTTCTCCAAGTCTTGTTGGGATAATAGTGTTTTCTTGCCACTACCCCCACTTTTATCATATGCTTGTGCCATCTTCCGAAGGAACTGCATCCAGCAAATAAGATCTAGATAAATTGACGTCACACACACAGACACACACACACACACACTCTCTCTCATCCACACGCAACTCTAATCAAAACAAAACACAGACTAAAAAAGAGAGGAATAACCATTCTACTAAAACTCTTCTCATGATAAGTTTGCCACTCTTGTAAGTGATTATTGTACATATTAAGAAAATTTTCTATGAAATGAGTACTTTTTAATGCAAATGATTAAAAAGAATGCTTAAAAAGACAACACACATTTTTTAATAAATTAATTATCTAACTCCTACATTAGGACCACAATGAGTAATAATAATAATAGATCCAATAGCTGGGACAGGATCTACTAGATAGTTTACAGTTACAAAGACGTACCTCACGTGCTATATGCATAGCCATTTCAGTGCTCAAATTCAGGTGAGCTTCACGTAAATGGGACGGTATCCAACCAGGCAACTTGGAACGTTTGTCATGACGACTGTACCTGCAAAGCGTAGGCAGATATAGTAAAAAATTCAGAACTTTGTCAAGAGGAAAAAAAAATATTAGTCAGTACTATATATGACGCAGTCACCAAAGGAAGGTGTGCTATTTAATTTAGATCTAGGGGAATCAATTATATTTTAGAAGTCAGTGTAAGTGCACAAAAGAGGAGGTCTAGAGATAAAACCAGGCATCGATGCATATAAATGTGACTTGTGAGTAAAAAGACCTATTAACCCAATGTGTATAACCTTATCAGACGTGATTAAAACCCACCGGTAGTTACTCGTCATTTCAGTTGTGCACAGGTGCCTATGTTTTCCTGTAGATTTATTCCTCCTCAGCAATAGTAATCAAATTTAAACTAGATATTTGTGTCATGTATGAAGCCAGCAACAGATCATTATTGCTATAAATTCACGATTATCCAGGGTAACATGTGCAACTATTGTAAAATATATCTGGATTTTTCTTTTGATGGCTAGCCATCCGGTATCCAGTATTACCAATAAATCCAAATTCAAACTGGGCTGAGCCAAATTGGATGCCAGCTCTTTTAAGTGTTTCTTCCAACCAATTTTGATCAATTATGGGCCTCATATCGTATCTTTCTTTGGTTTTTTTTTTTTTCCTTCGACCAAAATATATCATTCTTCAGATAATAAATAAGATTCTAACACACAAAATTTCCCTTTTTTTTTTTTTTGAAATTCAATAACAGAGACAGACAGTATTTTGAAAGTGGAACATTTTCCAACAAATTCAATAATAGTGCAGAGATAACAAGGTTACGCTCAAAAATTCTAACCAAAAACTAGTACATTTTAAGAGATTCAATCACATACAAACAAGTGAACACCCATTGAACAAGAATGTAGAAGAAATACTTGCAGCGCAACTCCCTCCCATTTCTTCCTCAGGTGCTGGTGTTCATGAAAGATAAATGATGTAGGGTAGAGAAAATACCAACCTTTGTGGGCAAAAATCATCATCCCCTAATCAGCTTTTGACCGAATTACACGTCCCACACATTGAGCAGCCTGTCTCTGCTCCATCCAAAAATAATGTTCCAAAGGCTTGGAGCACGAATCACTAAGTTTAGGAGTCAGATAGTTGAATTGATAGAAGCAATAGAGCCACAGTCATAAAAAAATTAAAAAAAAAAAAAAAAAGCACACATGGATGCACAGAGAAAGGCAAGTCATACCGAGGCATCAAAAGTCAGAAAATCTCCTTCCTTGATTTGAAAAGTTTCACGTAGATATTCCAGGCGTGCTAACAAAATTCTGAAATTAAAGTGCTTTTGAAATCAATAATGTGTTATGGCAACCAGTAACATGAAATATATTGGAAAGAAGCAAAGCATGATCAACTCGACATATAATTGTTAGTGACATAGAATGCCCTTATTTAGAACTTTACCCAGGGCAACTCACTTGCCTAATGTATATTGGAAAGGTACACCAAACATGATCACAAGTCTGCCATAATGTCGATCAAAATCTATACCTTCAGCATCTTTCCCCTTGCAAAAGGCACATGTGTTCTTAAATTCTCATTAGTCTTGACAGGTACACAGATAACCAATCACAAGACTAGGCTACCCAATAAGTAAACGTGAGGGATAAAATTGTCTTTCCATAAACAATCAACATCACAATTCTGTTATAAGCCTGCATATGTTAAAATCAGAATCCAAGTCCCAAGGTCTTATCTATCTCAATCACAGAACAGATGACAGAGTGTAAATTCTGATATAACAAAAAATTATATACAGCCAATCAAACACAAAGACCATAATATCCTACTAAACTATTTGAGCAAGCGTCCTTGTCATGAAATGCCATTCCAATACTCTTACTTGAGAAGTCATAGAGGGAGGAAAAACAACTGATTAAAGCATTGGACAGACAAATAGCGTGTAGCCCACGATTTGAATATCAAATAGGTCAGCTCGTGCCATTGATGAAGGACAAAGAAAAAAACAAAAGAGGAACAGAAGGAGAAATAAGGAGAACAAGAGAAGAATGGTGGGATAAGTGGAGATTTTGGAGGAGCGTAATAGCGAATAATCTCAATTCAATTCAACAGGCAAAAGGTCTACCAACTGAGAAAACTCTAGGATTATTGATCGAGCCATAGATAAAGATAATAAGATAATAATAATGACCTAAGCTGACTTGAACCTAAATAAAACAAGATAAATCCTGGTTCAAAACAAATCAAAGAAAACCTGACTTACAAAATAAAGATCATTAATTAAACATAAAATAAACTTAAATGCTAGATTTTCCGCATGTTTAGCAAAGGTCTTCAATTCTCCTCCAGCTATATTTGTCTTTCATCATATTGGCACCGAAAGACTCATTTTGTTTTTTGCTCAACAAAGCATATAGTTTGATCGATCTGGTTAAGAGATGCAACGTACAGACATCCAAAGGGATATGTTTTTAGTGCCATACCTAGCAACAGAGAAAAAAGACAGCACC